TTGATGAATGATGATAAGATAGCATAAATGATATTATTTATGCATTAGTGTTAGTAAAAGTTAATGAACGTGATCCTTTAATCGCTAAAAAATAATAAAATTTCCACTACTCTAACATTGACAATTCTTATCCCCAAATTATAAAAAAATTAGAGTCTGAATAAAATAATATTATTCGTAAATTTAAAAATATTTTCTTTTTTTTAATCATATGTTTTTCAAAAAATTATTATTCCTCTCATTATAATCCAAAGTAATGGAGTTCAAAAAAGACGCATCATCTTCACAAATCATAATCTAGAGAGAGAAGAATGATTAGGGCTGTAAGAGTGTGTTTTGTAGGGATTTTTGGGGGAAGAATTGATTTTTGAATAGTGATATGGTGGGAAATGTGTGGTTGAAAAAGAAGAAAAAAATATTGATGTGATGGAAAATATTATTTTACTGAAGAATGTGTGGTTGAAAATGAGAATNGAATTGATTTTTGAATAGTGATATGATGGGAAATGTGTGGTTGAAAAAGAAGAAAAAAGTATTGATGTGATGGAAAATATTATTTTATTGAAGAATGTGTGGTTGAAAATGAGAATTGATTTACTGTAGAAAATGAGAAGTTTTACCAAACAGGCTCTAAGAGTGTAAAACTACATTTATGACATAAATAACATATTAAAATTTAATTACATGATTAAGCCCATGTTTGCGCTCCATTATATCACATTTCAATAAGGAGAGTAATAATTTTTTTGAGAATGTGCGATGGAAAAAGAAGAATTTTTTTTATATTTATGTGTAATATTATTTTATTGAAAAACGGGTGATTAATAAAAAGAAAAAAAATAAATAAATTTTAATTTAATGGGGCCAATCAAAGCTAAAATAGTTCAAGAAACTGCTATAATTAACATAAAAGACTACGGTGGGGATGATCGGCCTCAACGTTATTTTTCTATACTGATTCGACTTTCTAGTTTGGTACGACTCACACACATTCCTTTATATTAGCATCAATAACGCAACTTTAAGCAACGGATAATCAACAGTTCCCTTTTTTTTTTTGTTATAATTATTTTACAAAGAAAAAATATAATATTTATATTAACATGTCTGTAAATTTAAAAGAATAAAAAAAATAACTAAAAGTTATCCACGTATTATCTCACAAAAATTCTGTTAGTAATTATAAAAATTACAGTGTAACAAAAGTATGCCCGGGACATAATTTTTTTGCAACCAAATTTTAAGGGCATGTTCTCTTTGCTATTTTCAAGCCGTTTTCTGTTTTCGATTTTCCAAAACAGTGAAAACGCGTTCTCTTTCCTATTTTCGAAAACGCGTTTTTGAAAACGACTTTAAAATTTATAAAGAAAACACAAAACAAC